GCAATTGGGCTGTTGACAACCAGTGACAACCCCACCCAGAAAAGCACAGCAGTGATGGCCCTGGGGGGGCTGCTGACTGCCCTCAACCAGCTAACATCCCCACGGGTGACATGGGGCATCATTGCCTTGCAAACAGCCCATCTCTCCTGCCCCCCATTTAGTAATTTAATGTTTTTGTCTTTCCCAGGGTGAGGTTGCTGGCCTGGCCTCCTTGGTGGCTTGGTCTGACAGCCATGACTCCCACCATGCCACTTGGCAAAGGCAGGCAGACTGGGACAAGCTGGCAGCAGAGTCAGGAGCAGGGGAAGCCCAAACCCCCAAAACTGCTCCCAGCACTGACCACAGCTCCCACAGAAGTGGCACCACTTTGAAGACACACAGAGAGGGAAATACTGAAGTTCCTCTCTCGTGGACAAGGATGGGGAGTGGCTGCAGAAGAGGCAAACATTTGTACCCCAAAAGAGAACAAGTCATTGAAGTGTTGTAGAGAGGATGAACACCAGGGCTGTGCAGCAGAGAAAAGTGCGAACAGGACCTGTGAGTGGTTATGAGGAGGCAATGAGGCAGCTTCAGCCCAAGTCTTCTCACGACAGCCAGTGCTGGCCACATTGCTGATAGGATGGGTTAGAAACCATAGGTCCTGGGTCCCTCTATAAGAGGACTCTATATGACTGCTGCCAAGAAACATGGTTGCTGAACAGCCTCAAACCCAGGGTGCAACCACAACTTTCTTTAGGCACAATGAAATCTGGGCCATTTCATGATTAAAAACCAAATCAAGGAAAATAAGGCCCAGACAAGCCTCAAAAAATCATGGGTAACAAAACAAGACCTCCGACCAGCCTGAAACCCAAACAAAAGCACCAGTCCTGTTCCCAGCCCAACCACAGTGGTCCATGTTGCTACAAAAGGGATCCTAACATTTTCACATAATTCACTGCTGTGGCCTTGAAATGCTGCTGCAGTGTGGGGTGGCAGTCACCTGCTCCCTGTTCACTTACAGAGGAGATCGTTATCCCTGCTCCTCAGACTCACATGTGACAGACCAAGACCATGAGGCCAAGATGAAATATTCTGGTACCAAGAGACACACATCGATCCTTGTCACCTCCAGGAAGAGTGACAAGCACAGAGCAGCACTGGAGTTTCCAAGGAGCAGAATATTCACCTGGTGGAGAGGGGACCCTCCTGAGGCTGCAAGCTGCTGACTGCTGCTTGGAAAGGCATCTGGACCAGCCCAGATGGACCTAAGGAGTGTCTTCATCTGCTTATCAAGTCACTGGCAAAACAACTTTCCCCTTCCCCTTGTTTTGTTTTCAGGCCAAGCAGATAAATCCCTCCATGCTCAGCAATAAAGCCAGCCAGAGCTGGGCTACGCTTTGTTCTCTTTCAAGCTTATCTGCATTTTCAGACCATAATTACTGCAGACATTTTATTCCCCTGGAGCGTTGGGGTGATGCTAGGACTCGGTTGCTTTCAAAGCCTGCCCACCCAGCCTGGCAATGCGTTCTGCTCACAGTGCCTCAACCTCCCACTGCCCCCTTGCCTTTGCACCTTAAACCTCTGGTACTCGTCCACGGAGCTATCAATAAAATTAAATGAAGTGCAGCAAGGATGGACTAGAAACAAATGGGACATTGATATCTACAAAATGGAGACTCTCAGTTCAATTCAGAGACCACAGAACAATGCAAAAACCTGAATGTTAGATCCCAGAGACCAGTGAAGGAATCGACTGGACAGAGCATCCCGAAGACATCTCTAACCAGAGACCACACTGCGGAGCTAAATCAGAGTTTATGAATAAGCCCCATTAAATTTGCCCCAGCTCAGCAGTACAGCAGGGGAGGGAGGTGAAGCAAGGCCAGATGACTGTGCTGGAGATCAGCAGGTGGGCACGGCACCCTCCTGCTGATGGGAGGGTGCTGATGGAAATAACTGTTGGTTTCTTGCTGCCATCTGCTAAACCTATTACTGTAACTCATCCCCCTGTTTCCTTTCACCGGCTGCTCTGTCTGAGTGAGGGGGCAAGGAAGGAGCTGTGATTTCACTTCGCTGCTGGGTTGCTCCTGGCAAGGGTACAAAGCGCTGCAGGTCTGAAGACCAGCAGCCCCAGCCCACTACCTCAGAGGGGACAAGAGCTCAGACAAGACAGGAAACAGCAATAAACTCCCGTCAGCATTTCCTCCTCCTCCATTCCCCATGGACCAGAGAAAGGCATGCAGCAGAGCCAGCATGCATGGAAACCAGTGGCTCCAGAAGAGAAGGAGGAAAGGACACACTGTCTTCTACTGCAAAACTCATTTAGCTCTCACCCCCACAGCAGCCAGGCTGTGCAGATGAACCAGGCACACACCACACAGTCACAAGGCACCGGCACACAGCTATGACTGTGTGCCACCAACCAGCCCCACAAAGCTTCCCGGGTGGTAAACCCAGGAGTGGTTCAGAAGGTGCTTCTCAGGACTTTCCCTGCTCCTTGTCAGGAACACTGAAGGGCAAGGGTTCCCGTGGGACCAGTCTCACCCAAAGCACTGACCAACAAGACAGTCTCATGGTGCAGTGGGCTCAGGTCACCGTCCTTCAAGAGCCCAACAATCCCCCAGTGCAGTCCTGAAAGGAAACTCTCATACGTGGAGAACTCTTAGCACCAAATAATACTGCCCATGCCACTTTTTATCAGGAAAAAAAGCGTCAGGTTTCTCAAGCATCTTCTCTGGTATACCAGACAGCATCCCTCTGGATCCAGTGATGGGAAGGAGTGAGATGGGGAGCACAGGGCTGCGGTGAGGGCAAAGCTAACAGCTCGGGAGGTAGGGTCAGAACAAACAGAAGCTGGCTGTTTTGGGCAATATGTAGGTGAGCTGTTTAACTCCTTACTGTAGGGCATCGCAGACACTGAAAGTCTTCATGGGCTTGCAGGGTCATAATTTCGACAAGAAATGTTAATTAAAAACCATTAATTATAACACCAGAAAACCCCTAACGGCTAGACAGTGTCTAGAGAAAAACTGTTACAAGCTCGCTTGGCTTTAAACTCTTTCCTCAGGCACGCAGGCATGCTGGCTGCTAGGCTTAGCAGAGCATGGTGTGCTGCAGGGAGGTGGCTCTGAGGCTGCTGTGCAGAAGAGCTCACGTTGCAGTGGGACTTACAGGAGGAAGGTGTCCCAACACATGGCTTGGAGCACCAACTTAGGAAGACAACTCCAGCTGCTGCAGAGCCAACCACACAGGAGCCACCATCAACATGCAAGATGAGATGGATCTGAGGTCACCATTCCAAGAAAACATCTACAGAAAAAAAGCCTAGTTTCTGTAAAAATAATCCTTCTGTAATACAGTAATGCCATCAAAATAGCTATCGGGAGATAGTTCATCTTGTAATTATTCAGCAAGCTTGGAGATGTTAGAAGTCTCAGCAAAGTTTATGCAGAGGAGACAGACTGAGAACTGGGGTACAACAGAGCTCTTGTTTTGGGAGAACTGATGTTTAGCAAATGCTCCAAGGAGCACTGAATGGAGGCCCTGTCCCCCATGCTGCAGTGCCGGTGCTACCTCTCTGTTTAACCACTGGAGAGGCAGCCAAGGTGAACCTTTGGGCTCAGAAAGCTGCCCTGTTAGCACAGAAAATCAAGTGCTCTGTCCAGGCAAGCAGCTTGGGCTGGAGCAACGCCTATGTTTGCAGAGTGGATTCAACCCCTCTGATATTTCTGTCTTCTGTCATCTAGGAAAGACAGTTCAAAGCAGGGAATAGAGGAGACCAGTACTTTGGAGCTGAGATCTAGCCCAAGCTCCTGGGGAATCTGCACGTAGGCACCAGCAGAACTGCAAAACAAACAGTTCATTATACAAGCTGTAATTTGTCTGGATAGCAGGACACGGCTCAAAAGCCACAAGCCAGCAAGCGTTCTTAACCAAACCAACATCCATCAACTCGGGGATCTCCAGTTTACCAGCAAAAACTCCCCAGATGGCTTCCTAGATGGAGCAGCCTCTACATCTTTAACTAGGGACTTGAGACTTGCCTTTTTCTATTAAATCTCCTGTCACCTGGCCCAAGAGTTCATGTCCCTGTTACCCTCCAAACACCACTCAAGGCTGACGAGGAAAACTTTTGCTCCTGGCACAACTCAATGGTTGGACATGATGATCTCAGAGGTCTTTTCCAACCGAGCGATTCTGTGATTCTGTGAAGTGTGAGGAAAGGTAACCACATGAAAAGCTATGGGGAAGCAGGAAGAGAAGAGACTCGCTTCTGAAGGACACTGGCTATGATTGCACCTCCAATACATGGAAACAAGGGAAAGGAACAGATTTGGTCCCTGCTGCAATGATGGAAACACATTTCTGCCCAGCATCCTCTTCTGGTGCTTTGGACCAAGCATAAATCTTTCACTCGCCGATGGCTGCCAGCACCGTGGCCCCAAACAGGAACTTTCAATCAGCCCATGCGAGCTGGCACACTCAGATCCCATCAGGGCTGATTCTCATTTTAGCCCAGTTCTCTCTTCTGTGATTTATTGGTGCTGGTGCCTGCCTGGAGTCCCTGTCAGTCTGCGTGCAGGAAGCCATCCATTACTGCAACTGCCAGGGCCACCCCCGCCAAACCGCACATCACCAGGGCTTCGGTATTAATAGAATAACTTCGGGGGTTGAAGTTGCTGCAGGCATCACCTCGTTAGCAGCATACGCTTCCTCATCTGGTCAGGTCCCAGCTCATTATCACACACCTTCCAGCACAGACAGCACGAGCAGCACCCAGCCATCACGGCTCTTTGCTGAGTCAGCAGAGCTGGGACTCAGGCCACACATGGGACCTAAGTCCTGCTGTCCCCTTCTCCCTCCAGTGACAGTGACAGCTTACCCTGGCATGAGGCAGGGAGGAGTGGGGTTACTCCCTCGGCACTCGGTCCTCCACCCCAGCAAGGAAAACATCCACAGCACTGGAGCTGAACTGCCCTTGAAACACCCAAAAATCCTCTCCCTTTAGCCCAGGGCTGCTTGGGAGAAACAGCAGAAGCTGGGGATGACCTGCGTTACCACATGAAAGCCAGAGGGACACCCCCTCTGCCTGCTCGGCTGCCTTCCTGCCAGGAAAGGACCAAGCCCCAGAAGCCACCTTCTAAAGCAGAGCACAGTCCCACAGCAATGCCAGTGGCTTAGAGGGCAGCAGGGAAAGCCACCCAGCTCTGGCTTCATACAAACAGCTTTGGAGTTCAGCTCAACTGGGCAGCAGCAGCCCAAGCGACGTGCACAATGCCTTTCCTGGAGGATGTTTGCTTAGTGGCAGCAGGAGGAGGTTCCTCATCCATCTGCAGACTGGGCAAGTCAGATGTGAGGTTTCTCTGATTCCCATCACCCCACGGCCCACCCACTGCTCCCAGTACACCTATTTGGGTGGTAGCAGCTGGGAAAGCCAAGCAACCTTGGCGAGCAGGGAGCAACAGCAGCTGAAGTTCACCCGCCAAACCCCCAACTGGAGTCTCGAAAACCAGGAGAGGCACAGATGTAATCCCAGGCTGAGACACAGACTCCACTCTGTTATCATCTGCTCTTCTAGAGGCCATGAGCCCTGACAAGCCTTCAGAGGGTCCTGGTGCCGGCACTGCTGCGCACCCCAATCCTGCGCTAAGCCACTGCAGGCAGCCAGGGAGTGTAGACCAGCCTGCTGACCCTGCTCTCCCTTTGCAGGAGACCTGCTGGATGGACGGGAACAGCATATAAGAACAAAGACAGTTTAGAGAAGAGGAATTTATGGCTTTTTAAGACACCAGGACCTCCTGATGCCGGTAGATTTCAAACTGTGAAACCACAGCCCCCAGAAGGAGTGAGGAGGGGTGCTTGTGGGCATCTTTTAAGCATGTTAAGAGATAGTAAATTTACTCTACAGGCCCCTGTGCCCTCACTAGAAGAAAAAAAATCAGGTTCATAAGCAAAAAGGTTAAAAAAAACTTAAGGTATCTTATATATGATGGGATGCTCAGCTACCAAAAATAAAACAATGAAAGATGCTTCTAACAAAAGAGGCTCCTCACAGCCAGAGGCATGTCCTGTACTGAGGACAGCAGCTCCACAGCCTCTGGGAATCAACACGACAAGGGCTCCTTCCCCAGCACGCCCTGCTTATACACTGGGGACAATTATTAAATAACCACTTAGGGTCTTGCTTCACTACAGAGTTAACCTGGGCTCCGCATGTCGCAGAGCTGAAATTCAGCTGGCGAGGAAAGTTCACAGCCAAATGCCTTGACTCAGCAGTGGCTTTGTGCCCAGCCATTCAGACTTCCCCAGCCTTATTTCAGAAACTGCTGTGGCTAAAAACGGCTTTAAATTGAAAAAGGGTGGATGGGAGGTGAAGGGGGTGCACACAGCCACTTCCCACCTCAACAACTGAGTATCCTGCTGCTGGTCAGACCTGCTGAGATACACAGGGAGCAGGAATTTGGTGGTTTCTCTTCTTTGAAACTACAGTTCTCCCGGGGCTGCCATCCAACACCAGGGAGAAAGGTCCTACATCCCTACAGATTGTTAACTTTCCTGAGGATTTTTCTTACCACAACCATTTCCCTTCTCCTTCTGCCCCCCACCACTGCTCTGTGGAGTCACCTCTTCCCAAATTTAACCAATCCCACTGGATTACAGCCCCACTGACCCATCACTGGGCAGCCTTCTGAGGTGGAAGCAGCTGAGTTATCCCAGTCCAGAGCTTGCTGGACAGGGATCCACATCACAGAAGCCACTGATTGTCACTGCCAGTAGAAACACCACAGCCTCAATCTGCTCTGTTTGAAGTGGTCCCTCTGGGCAGGAGGACAATGGAAAGTTGGCAACAATGTGTGGAGGGGATGGAGGAAGGGCTTCACCTCCCTCTTTCATCCCCCAACTACTGGAGACTCCTGTCTCAGCTCCACTTCCAGCTGTGATCTACCGCCCAACCGGAATGGGGGAAAAAGGATGTGCAAAGTCAGCATTTGACTCTTTCCCCCTCCACTCAGTTCCTGGCCACTCGATCTCCCTCTGCACATGCCAGTGGGGCTTGCTGGGGCTTGCAGAGCAGGCAAGAGATGGAGAAGGGCTGAGGAACTCAGCTTGCAGGGCCAGAAGTCAGCAGTGACCTGCTTTTGGTGGTGCTCCCAACGCTGGCAAGGGCACACTGAAGGGAGCTGCACTGCAGGAACGCAGAAGGAAAGCCCTGGCTCACCCCAGCAAGAGCTTCAGTGCTGGGGAAAGCAGACACCACAGGAGCCTGGAGATAGATGCATGGGCTGTCCAACCTCTTCTTTCCATTCCCAAACACTGCCAGATCTGAGGACTAAATTCACCCTTTGCAGTTAAACTCAGAGCTCCACAGACTGCAGTCAGCTGCGGCCCCTGAAAGCAGTTTGACATCCCGCAGTGATGCACGTTAGGTGGATCCTCGCCCTGCATCCCAGGCAAAATCAAGCAGAGGGTTCATCCAACAGCACCCAAAGGCACGTCCCCTTCACTGCCACCAGCTGCCACTCCTGTGGGTGTGCTGTGACCTGAGGTGTCAGCCGGGGAAGCTGAGGTGAGGGACAGGAATGCTCCCAGCCATGGTGCCATAAGAGCGGCTGCTTGGCTTGGCACCGAGCACACTGACCAGTCCTTCTTTCCACCCTCATTCCCACCTTTCAGCCATCCAGCACAAAACGCTGCCTTTTTTTCCTCCTCTCTGTTCATGGCCTGGCTCCCTTTCAAAGTCCTGGAGAAAAGTATTTTATCTGCTGGATGAACAATGACATCCGGCCAAACCCCAGACACGCCATCACGTCCGATCCAGCCCAGCCGTCTATCACAGCCCTCATCTCATTATTGGTGAGTTGGAGGTGGGCCAGCGCTTGGGAAAGGGCTCCCACCAATCTCTCCAGAGGAGAGAGTCAAGGACTTTTATTAATTAGCATTTTGAATTGTAGCTAATAAATTCCCCTCTGGCATTCAGGCTGGGATAGGAAACACAACAGAGGCGTCCTTGAGATGCTGTAGCATTTTGCTGCTGGAGGCAAATGGACGAGAGTCACCTGCTGTGTCCTTCTGCATGCTGCAAGCTTGCCTCTCCTCCCTGGAGAGGAGCAGGCAGTGGGAGGGAGCACGATTCACTGCCAGATTCAGCAGGGCTCACCCACGCTGCAATGGCCAAACACTCACAAACACAGGGCAATTTTGCAGTGGCTCAGCAGCCCTGCAGGACACCACGGGATGTACCTGAGGATGGACCCCGCAAGACAAGCACACGTTTGGGATTGGACTTCGGGCTGGTGCCTCAGCTTCCCCGTTCTGTTGGACCCAAACCAGGGAGACAAGGAGGGACATGGCACTGATCACTGCCAGGAGCTACAGCTTCAAACACAGCAGAGCGGCATCACTCTGGGGCTCACACTCAGCACCCAAAGGTCTCCATATCTGAATGTGCTCCTTGTTCTAACCCCAGCACCCACCCTGCCCAATTTCTGGCTCAGTCTACAAGACAAAATAAAGGTGAGGAAACTGGGTGCAAAACTGAAGCTGCCTTTCAATCCATCAGGCATGATGGTGCCTCAGCTATAGGTGGGTTCAGTGACTCCCTTTGCAACGCAGCTCACCACCTTCTCAAGGAGGGCTCCAAGACTCACGCACAGGAAGACCCCCACATCCTAAAACAGCCCCATGGACTGTTAAACCCTATAATAAACCCCCACCCAATGTCCTTGCAAGATCATCTTTTCCTTGTGTCTCTTGCTTGCCCCTGAGCTGCCGCCTTCACTGAGGGATGACTGCCGGGGCAGCAGGTTAAGTGGTGAGCAATAGCTGGGCAGGACAGACGAGAGCACCAGTCGACAGCAAGCAATTAGTTAATGGGCTCCAGGGCCCTCAGACCAATCTCATCAAGCGACAGCAAGCTGTGGGAGGAATGATGACAGAACAGGCACATAGAGACAGGCGCCAAGTGAGGAAAACAGGGATAGGGGAAGGGGGAGTTAAGAGAAGAAATGAAAAAAATTGAATACTCAGGGAGAAGATACAGTCCACAGAAGCATAATACTTAGCTGGAGACCTGAAGGGCCCTGTGTTGCTGCTCAGAGGAAAAAAACAAAATCCCTTTATCAACCTTCACATCCTTCCAATACAGAATGATGTCAAATCAATTTACTGCCTTTCCTCTCACAATCAATCAAGCCTCCTCCATTGCTCAACTTTTGGTAGAGCTGTGCATTGTGTCACATGCAGCATAAAAAGAGAGAGCAGCATAGCGGGAGATGGAGGCAGCTGCTCAGATTTATGCTGCTTGTGATTAGTAAGAGATGGGTGGCTCCTGGCCAAAGCAGCTCATAGTCACAAGACTTATAACCACACAGAGTTGCGTAAGACACGCGAGATTCCTTGCAAACATTCCTTGTTTTGGATGGAAAGACTCTGGAGCGTTGTTACGGATGGGGCTTATGGACATGGCAAAGGGAAAGAGCCCTTTGAATGAGGCAGAGGACATTAGTAACCATGTGAAATGAGGCTTTTCAGACTGACCATGTTTTTGAAACCAACATTTGCAAGTAGAAAGTGGCTCAAGACCCACTCATGGGGTCCCAAAAAAGTGTTTCCACTTCCCCACTGGAGAAGACTATGCCAGAAGCTGACTGATTGGGCAGAAGTGTCCACTTTGAGCTGCACAGCCCCTGTTCCCTCTGTAAGAAAACTTCCAAATCCCAATTTTGTGACTTGCAGGGGTAAACATCAGTGAACATCAGACTTATCGATACCAGCAAGTTCAAGGCAGTTTGCATTTCATCACCACCCTGGCAGTGACAGCCACCCATACAACTTACTCTTTGGGGGGCGTCAAGTCGTCAGGTCGTGTCTCAAAGAACTGGAGAACCTCGTCGCACTGGGAGATGTAGGGAGGCAGCTGGATCAGAGCCTGCGGACAAAACAGACACACAGGTGATGGGAAGCATCAAGACTGTGCAAGGAGCCAAGAGAGGACAGGCCCTCAGAGCGCAGGGGACTGGACCATGGCACCAAACTTGGCACCCACGCGGTCCCTGGCACACAGGAGCGCAAAGCCACACAGGGGAGAGCCACAGCAAACACACACCAGAGTGGGGCAATACCCAGAGTTACACCCACCACACCAGCCCAGCCGCAACTGAAGACTAAAGGAGAAAAAGCAGAGACCTCCCAGGCCCCGCTTAGCCCAGCTCCAGCCTTCTGGACTGACGTGCCCTTGCATGGTAAGAGCCACGGGGATGTCCATCCCAGCATCCACACTCCTGGCCATGACAGGGCTCAGTTTCCCAGCTGTGCTGCAGGCACAGAGCCATCGTACTTGGCAAAGGATGGCGTTAACGCACAGCAGAGACTCAGTGCTGTCAGCCCTGACCAGCACATCCCAGAAATGCTCTGCAATGGCAGCTCAGGAAGAGGCAAGGAGAGAAGCAGCAGGAGGCAAAAGCGTGGACACCAGCTCATCAGGGCAAGGGCAAGAAGGCCGCTACATGCACTGTGAAATGGCAGGAGCTACAAACTGCCTCTGCTTTCCTCCTTTCCCTTCGAGGAAGCCTTCTGCATAAAGGCAGGCTTCAATAGTGGGACTTGCAGCGTGAGAGTGCACACATCCGTGGGAGCTGCAGCCAGGGTCTGGGACAGCCATATTTGCCTTGGGACAGAGCCCTTGTAGGTGCTTTCCAATGTGAGCTGCAGCAAGGGCTGGGCAGGAAAGTGGGATGGGCAGCCCTGCCCTGCTCTCTGCTCATGGGAGAGAATGGAGCCATGGGTGATGGTGACCGCAAAAAGTAAAAAAAGACATGCAATTGAAAAACGGGATGATGTGAAATCAGGGAGCAGTGCTGCAGCCTGACCTGGAGCAGACATCTGACCAATTTTCTATATAATCACCTCTCCCCTCCATTTGCTGTCACAGCAGTCTCGTGACAGCGCTGTGTACAAACCAAACCTCCACTCATTTCTGCATCAGAGACAAAGCCACATCTGCAAAGCCCCGGGGTTACCACACAGATCAGATGTGGCTCCACACTGACCTAGTTGCTGGCCCCCAAAAGCCCTTCCAGCCATTCAGCACACAGCCGTGCACTGCCAGCCCAGCAGACAGACCACTAATGATGGACTAGCTGTGATCCACATCATGTGAGAGACAGAGAGAGAAAACTACTCACTCCATCGCTTTTGGGTCCAGGGAAGGGCTATTCAAAGACTGGGTTTTGCACGGATGTCGTTCCCATGTGGATACCACTCCCCAGTTTCAAGCACCCCGTGATCTATGTAATTTCCCGTGCCAAAATCGCTCTTATTTTGTGGCCTGGAGAAGGCTCTGGCATCCTCCGATAGCAAGGGATGATCACAGAAAACGCCTTGCGCCAGGAGGACGAAAGACAAGACCCACAGCTCATTTTCAGGACATCTTGAAGGAAGCCCACCTAGAGCTGACTCAGCTGGCACAGTGGTGACCAAGTCAAGCAAGCCACCCTGCAGTCCAGCAGGCTGTGATCTACAGCAGATATGACCACCAAACCAAAGACAGTGGCACAAATAGCATGATGTCTGTCCCACTTCTGGCCGTGCCACCCAAAGGAGTGAACTGGGGAGGGCCATCAGCATATGGCTTCAGCCCATCAGCATACGGCTTCAGCCCATCATATTTGAGCCAGAGTAAGTCACCTTACCTGCCCTGCTGCCAGCAAGTCCAAGGAGAAAAGTCATTTAGCAACAACAGAGAAGCCTTGCTGCATTGAAATCCATTTTTCCGGGAATGAGAAAGGATTACTCTCTAGCAGCAACTTTTTTAGTGGTCCACCCAGTCTCACTGGGGTAGAGCATCACAACTCCTTCATCAACCCTCCAGCTAACACTTTCTCAAAATCCCTGAGACAGAAGCAAGGCAGTTCCCACACCAGGAGAAAGAGCAACAGATGTGGAACACAAAGATGCAGAACACGAGAGAAATGGGAAGAAATTTCAGGCCTTTGCTCCCCCTCCTCATCCTTCTTATGATATTTTGAAGTCTCATTTCTGGACTGGTTGCTCTTACCAGTTGCTTTGATTTTTTTGCAGCTTTTTTCACACCTTACTTTAAATTGCCACATTTTTCGGGATGGAGGGACCCAGAACAGAGCCATTCTCCAAGCCCAGCAAGAGCGTTGCTTTGTGAAAGCAGAGGTTCCCTCCCTTGCTCTCCTCACCTACTTCTACCCCAAAACTCACCCACCCTCTTTCCCAGGCTCTTGCAGAGAATGAAGACACTCCATCTCTCTCCCAGGAGATGACAAGAAAACAAAAACCTTCTCACACAATTTTCTGCAGGAAGTTGTTCACAGCATATTCACCTAACCCTCAATTCTCACTCCACAGGGCCAACCTGGAGGAGATATTTTGTATTGCTGTTCTGCACCACCACCCTCCAAGCACGTGCAATGTCCACCTCCGACGATAAACACGGCAGTGAGAGCATGCTGGGACCCTGCAGCTGTGACCTGCAGCACGACATGCCCAGGAGGGACATTTCTCTGCTGCCACTGACTCCATACTCATTCCACGTCTCTGCAGCCCTTCGGTCCCACCCTCCTTCAGCTCAGCAGCTTTATGGTTAAGAAGCAGCCACTGGAAGGACAGGCCCAGTGCACATTTTATTACTTGGTAATGCATTAACGGGAGGAGGAGAGAGCAGCTCTCTAAGTGGGTCATATAACATCAGCCATTATGTTCCAGTTGTTAAGTCAAATGGATTCATTATATTTTATGCCATTAATGGCATCATTCTGCAAGAGATGGCTGCAGCATCTTATCACTTAGGGACTTTTTCTTCCCAAAAATTAAATTTACGGTTGTGCATGTCTGTATGTAGCTGGCACATTTTAGTGACTCAGAAGACAAGGGGCTGATCACACCCTGCTGGAGCCAAGCAGTTACTTGCACCATCAGCTTCCCCCATGTGCTTTGGAGCACGTAGGTTCAAGCACACCTTGCACATCTCCATCACTCTGCTTTCATCCACTATCCTGGCCCATAGTGGTTTTCATCCACAGCCCCACTGCAGAGCGGTCAAGACACATTTACTAATTCACTTCTATCCTTTTTCTCGTCATTCCAGCCACAACATCCCTCCCAAAAGTCTGGCTGAGTCCCAAAATCCAGATTCTCCTCCATCATGTAAAGTCCTAGGATACCGTCACTGCTACAGCTCCTGCACCTAAGGAATGTGATGGCTTCGTCTTTGGCTGATGCTAGAAACCTCCCCTTACCTTGCAGTATTCATCGATAGGTATCAGGCGCTTGACTGCAACATCGCGGATATGACTCCGTCGGAAGAGGATCTTTCCTGAAATGGGAGAGGTAGAAGGAGAAGAACAGGTCAGCAACACCCAGGAACACTCTCTTGTATCACTTCATCAAGACCTATCCCCTGCACATCTGGTTCTCACCAAAAGCACTGTACCTACCCAGAAGCACGTTCCCTTATCAGAACAAAGTACATTTCAAGTGGCAAGCATGCTCAAGGAGAGAGAAGAGGGAACAATTACCAGCAAACTGCATCCCCATCTTCTCTCACCAATGTGGTAATGATGGAGGAGCAGCATGTGTCTGATACCTTGCAGTCTGCTGCCATGCAAGTCCTGGCTGTACAAGTCCACTGCCAAACGCCAGTGCTGGCCACAGAAGTGGACATCCCTGCGACAGACGGTGCAAGTGGGACCCTTGTTGTAGGCTCCAGGCTTGCTCAGGGCATCGGGGTCTGGTGCGGGCAGAAGCCAAGCCAGGGGGTTTCTCTCTATGCAGCTCTGTGCAGTGCTGAGACTGCAGCTCTGAGTCAGACCTATAGGATTTTCCTTCCTGTCTGGGCTTTATTTTTGTTCTCCATTAACGGGATCCTCTTGCCACTCCATTTCCTACCCTCTGGCTTGTGGTACAGGCCTCTTTCCTTTGAAGTCTAATGACTTATAAATGCTTCAAGCTGATTTCACAGCGACCAGCTTCACTGGCATTTAACGAGACAAAAGCCATTAGCAGACAGTGAAACATATACATAGAGACTCGGTGATCAAAAGGACTGGTACGTGGTAGGATTTCAGACCCACACTTCCCAAAGCACCAGGAACTGGAACTGCTTTGCCATACAATCACTTGGAAAATTGTGTTTTGGGGGCATGGGGTGGAGGATAATGAGTTTCCCTCAAGTTCCTCCTGACATCTCCCATAACACAGCAAAGTCTCATCTCTTTTTGTCTCTGCTTGGGTTTCTAACCCCACCAGCAAACCCAGGGAGAGCAACTGATGTGTCTGTCCATGCAATCCCTTCATTTATCAAAGAGGTCACCATGGAGCAACTTGGAAGCCAAGCTCCCCTCACAACCAAATACCAACACACCCTTTTTGCAAGCAACATGAGAACAAGGGAAAAGCACTCTGGAGAGGCACACAGCCCTTCTCTGCACCGTGGCTCGCTTCAACCCCTACAGTGAGCCTTTGCAGCACCCATGGCACTGCTGAAACCAGAGGCTGGATGCCACCAAGCTACCCAAGAACAGGACGTGTTAATCACGCTTATCACAATTTTGAAGCCAGGGCTGGCTCACCCCCCCACTTCTCCTTGACTTATCCATGATCTGGAATGTGCATGACTTGTGCAGCCCTGCCAATGCATTTTTTAAGCAGAGATGAACGAAGCCAACCCAACTTTAGCTTGCAAGGAGCATGAATCAGAACTTTATGGCGGAGCCAAATCTCCTGCTGGGCTCAGTGAATGCAGGATGCCTTCGAAGCTGGGCTGTCCAAGGGAACGGAGAGCAATCATGCGCAATGCGAGCTCTGCTCTTGCCCTCCAGTGAAATGCAAAGGGTCAGGCCAGCTCACACCAGAAGGGTTACTTCTCATTTATGTCCTGCTGACAGCGAGGGGCTGAGACATTCATGGTGGAAACGCTCTGCTTTGAAATGCATTCCTTCTCACAGCCTGCCAGAGCCAAGTCTGGCAGTCTTCATGATACAGTGAAAAAAAAATACCCTTTTATTCAATCTGTCTTTTAGATTTTGAGCGTGAATAGCCTGGGAACACAAAAGTTGTCTGGAAAGACTAGGAGCAACAACCAGGTCGGAGTTCCTTTCCTTGCCTATAGCAATTATTTTTCCATCAGACAAACAAATGATCAACAGTTTTCCCTTCTTACCAGCAATCACAGCATATTTGCTGTATAGATTTCTATTTGAATGATGATTTTTAAAAGATGAATGGATCACAATAGCTTTTTTGGCAAATATAAGGAATAGCTGCTTTGGTTTTATGTCTGCCAAAATGAAATCACTGATGGGTGGGTACATTATAAACGCCTGAAATAATAAGCTCTGGGTGTGCAAATATTTAAATGTTTAACAAACAGATGCTAGTGAATAATAATAAATAGACTATAGTTTTGGGGAATAAATACATCACAAGTGATCTTAAATTAGCCCAGGCACAGAACATATGAAACAGAAGGAAACACAGCTCCTCTCTTCATTTGCTCTAGAGCTAGTATTTTTCAACAAGGAAGTTTATTTTCTAACAGAAAGTTGGTTTTTAATCAAAATGTCTAATTAACATAATTGCAGACCCTTCAGTGCTGCCAAATACAGCTACATTAATCCTTGACTTGAAAGGCAAGAGAGAGCACGAAACCACTTCATCCTGAAAGGGAAAGATGGGCAACTTGCTGGGTCAATGAGATGCAACATTTTCCTGGGCACATTTTCCTTAGACTGTATCTGCAAAATGGAAGTAACAGTGCTGCCCACTGGGGCTTTTCACATCGCCAAAGACCACATAATGCAACAGAAACGCATGACGTTATTCATCTCACATCTGCACCCCTCACTGCTGTAGCTGCAGGGAACACAGGGAAGGCAATGGTGCCTATCACCCACACCTTGTTCAAACTGTTCTCTGCTTTACACTTTTTTTGGCTGCCTCCAGGAGCTTGTAATGACTTTCAGCCTGGTACTGAGTTACTGCCCTGGTAATGGTCCTGGTGGATGCTCTTCCTCCTGCCCACAGCAGATACTCCTTCATGCTGAAGGAGAGAAGGCTTAGGATCAGCTCCTCTAGATCCTAAAGGAAACACATGGCAAAGAAACGGGCAGATGGGCCAAGGCAAGAGGGAAGTTAAGTCTGATGACTCCATTTGATAGTTGCTGTCCTGGCCTCTCCCAACAAGCAGCCGGACACACAGGTACTGTGCAGAGACGGGCTGGGTCGCTGGCCCAGCTTTGGCACAGTGTAACCTAGCTCCAGGCAAAGGTAAGCCCTGCAGAACAGTGAGAAGAAACATTTGCAAAGGAAGACGCCAGCAGAAAAGAGGGGAAGGTCTCTGGGGTTTGATTTTCTCTGGTGAAGTTCCCCAGTGTTCCCTCAGTAAATGTGCAGCATGAGAGCCACAGAGTGACAGCAAAGGAGGAGCAATCTCAGCTGCCTTCATTGGACCTAACAAGAGCAAGGACAGCCTTGATTTGGTTCGGATCCTTGACTTCTGGATGCCTGCAAACTCAGCAAACTTTGCTCCAATATGGAAAACACAACTACCACCATCTTTACCTTTTGTTTAGGAACATTCTTTGGCAAGACTCATTTTAGTCCTAACATACTTACAGCCGTGCTCTTGCCCTCAATCGCAGTGTCAGCATGAAGAATAGAAAGGGGAAAGCACATGAAGGAAGGCACTTCTGCACATCTTGCTGCTTAGTGAGGTTTTCCATCAGCTGGTAAGGTTGGTGCTGTGCAGCTCCTCACTCTTGCCACAACTCAAGCACTCAGAAGTGATTAGATTTTCTTATTTATATATGTAACGTTATGCATGAGCAATCAGAGCAATGAGTCTCCCTCCCTGCTAGCACAAGTCACTACACACGGAAGTGTGGTGAAATACACTGTCCTTTCCACACACAAACAAAGGTATGAGTAGACTGAACATTTATCACTTGAGAATGTGTCAACTAAGTTGATTTTGGAAAAAGAAGACAGAGATAAGGCACCACTACAGAGTGGCTGCCCTGGCAAGTCTCCCTGCACAAGGAGAAGTCCCCAGACTCCCAGACATGCTTACCTGCTTTATCTGGATCTTCAAAACCTGGTAATACTTGCAGCAAAAAAGTGGTGCCTCTGAGGAGGACAACAGCTCAGTATACAAGTTACAATTTAGAAAGTGTTATTTCTTCAGCTGAATATACAGCACACTAGTGAATACATTTATGAAGTGCTACATTACATTAATGTAACTGTAGTTGCACTAAAGTATTACATGTGCTTTGCTTGCTATACATTTGTTACCCCCTTTCCCAGCAGCAGTTAAGTGCTTTGCAAGCATCTGCTCTTTAAGCATAACCTGGCAACATTATTCTCCATCTCCATCTTTTTGACTGGAGAAGTCTGACCAGCACAACCCATCCTTTAAAGTTAGAGAGAATAAAACTGAAAGGGAGAGAGCTGAAATATCTGCAGCTTCTTAAAAATCAAAGCAAAGCCTGTCTGTGCTAACCTTCAGTGCAGAACTGTGTGGATGTTCCCTGTCTACATCTCTCTGACTATACCAGATACCATGCTTCACACACTCATTGGCTGGTTAGAGCTGCTGGGGGGAACTGAACAATGCAGAACAGATTATTATTGTAGGGTTGCCTTGGAGTAACAAGGATTAGTTTAATTTTAAAAAGAAAAAAAAGGTAAGTTGCCATAAATGTTTACAACACTGGGTCATCAGAGTCAAAATTTAATTTCACCACCCAAAAATAATAAAAGTATCCAGCTTTTTATGCAGCGCCTTCTAGAAATCACTGAGTGCTTTATACACAACATGAAAGGAGCCAGGGCAGGTGTAGGACCTCTGCCGCAGTGCTGTGCAGAAGACCCCAGCCATTTCCTGTCCCCACGAACACCCCGGGAAAGGGGCAGGACACGAGCAGCAGCCCTCGGCAGAGGATTTACCACGGCGAGGAACCCCCAAGGGCAAGTGATGCTGCTTCTCACCCTGCTGCTCTTCCCCAGCCCTCCCAGCCCCATGAAGGAGCAGCACCGTGCCCTTCTCGGCACTGAGCTGACACTTGGGCTGTGGCCAAAGCCAGTTCTGCTCTTCAGAGACTGTGTCCAAGCACCTACCCAAAGAAAAGACAAATCCAAGAGTAACAAAGCAGCAGCAGCCACATCTCTGGCTCCCCTTGCCGACTTGAGCATTTGTTTACTTATCTTATCTCCTTATTGACCCTGGTTTGTTTTTACAGACAAGCAAATATCAGTACAGGCGCTTCAGCACTGGAGGCACCAGCTGGTTCTCAGAGGGGGACTGGGGAAAGGGGA